ACAGTGAGGCCACATCAAGAAGCACTTCATTGGCTGTAAAGAATTTTGACAGGTCTTTAGTTGTGTGGGGCCTCATAACTACAACTCTAGGAGAAGAGCTCCAAAGGCCACTTAGTTGGATGTAGGTAACGCAGTGTGGAACTGAAGGAAAGCAGCAGGCCAGACAGCATCAGAGGAGCAGGAAAGTTGACGTTTCAGGTCTAAAGATGGGCCCCGACCCAAAACGTCAGCTTTCCTGCTCCTCTGATGCTGCCTGGCCTGCTGTGTTCCTCCAGCTCCACACTGTTATCTCTGGCTCCAGCGTCTGCAGTTCTCACTATCTCTCGTTGGACGTAGAGTTGGCTGAAGTTGAGCTGCAGCTACCAGCCCCAGACCCTGGGGGCAGTATCAGAGCAGGTTAAGTGGTAAAGATGAGGAGGATGTGCTGGAATCCAAGGTAGACAAACAGGAGGCTGGAAGAACACAGCAAGCCAGGCAGCATCTGGAGGAAAGGAGCAGTCAACTTTTCGGGTAATTACCCTTCTTCAGGACTGGGGATGAAGAGATGTCTGGTGAACTCTGTGGCGCTGTAATGAAGTACCTTACCGTCCATGACTGGGCGATGGAAATATCTCAGCGCACGCTTCCCAGTCCGAGGTGGATCCCGGGCGCTGTTGCACGGCTCCCGCTTCGCCCTGCCGCTCCCCCGACATCAAACAGTCGCCTGCCTCCAGAAACCTCCGGGATTGCACTGCAGCCAACTCACCCGTCATAATGTTAACTTACGAGCTAGTGGCGGAGAGAGAGAGAGAAGCAGTAAGTGTAGAAGAAACGAACTTCAACATCTTGCATACATAACCAAAGCGGCTCAACAAACACGCGCAGAAAAAAACTTGCTCCAAAATTAGCAAATGGCAGTGAAAATAAACAAAACAGAAAATGCTGGAGACGTGCAGCAAGGTTCATCAAAGCTGTCAATCTGGATGGGATAACGTTACACAAGGAAGAAACCTGCAGGAACGTGGGAAAACACACACACAAAAAAGCCGACTCCCTAAAGAGGAAAGAGCTGAAATCTCTACGGGGTTACTGAGAGCTTATCAGCATTTTCTGCTTTTGTTTCAAATTTCCTGCACCTGCAGTTCATATATTTAGTAACGCTCTCCCAAAATATTTATAAGAAAACCCAACAGACAAAATAATAGGAATCAAGCGAACTGTCAATACTTTTGAACTCTCAATAGTTAGAAGTGCTTGATACAATACGAATCGCTCAAGATCAGCTGCCTACTGTTGCTGCTGTCCTTGCTTCATGCTATAGCTATATTGGCGTAGATGTGGAAGAGCTGCTCCAGTATTTTGGGTTGATTTTGGTTCTATTACCATAAGACAGTCCTCTCCGTCAATGTACGGGGTCTAATAATGAACAGCCACGCCGATGCTCCTAGTTACAGTAATCAGTCTTTGCTTGAAATGTCTCCGTTTTGCGTTGGCGCCGGGAGCACAGCAGCGGCGCCCAGTGTCACAAAGACGCTCTGTTGATGCGCCAGAGCCGGCGCCAGTAACAGGCCGCCAGTCCAACCAGCCCTTCAGTCCGGAACGGCACAGATCTGCAGAAGCACCCGTACTATAGGCACATAACAGCCGGGAAAACACCATGCCGTTAATAACAAACACCAGCCAGTCCCTACCCACAATCTACAGAATGGTGGCTGAGAAATACTTGTTGTACATTATCCTACACAACAGACAATATCCTTGGCTAGAGAACCCATTTGCTGTTCATCATAAACACCAGTATACACCATCACATTGAATACAAGTTGAAATCAGTTCAATACCCAAAAATTGTTTGTTTGTGCGGATCTGTATGCGTGCGTGCGTGAGAGAGAGAGAGAGACGGGGGGAGGGGAGGAGAGATAAAAAGGGTGTATCTGTAAAATTATATTGCTGCTTGGCCTGCTGTGTTCATCCAGCCCTGCACCTTGTTGTCTCGGATTCTCCAGCATCTGCAGTTCCTACTATATCTGTAAAATTATATTGTTTCCTTAGTGTCCTCAGGACATCCCAAATTCTCAGGTAATAAATGACTGTTCAAGCGTACCAGCTACTTCTTAGTTGTCATTCTTTGAACCATATGGAGACTGATCTGATGAAGGATTTTCTACAAGTCACTGCAATATGCAACTGATTTCACTTACCAAGACGGTTGGTGTAACAAACCAAAATTAATATTGATTTGGCAACTCACACTACAGATGCAATATTTCATAGAAACCTTATTGCACAGATAGAGGGCATTCAGTCCATCAGGTCCCACCAACCTTCCCACCTTATCCCTTTAACCCCACATTTACCATAGTAAACCCATCTAACATGCACAGGAAACCCACACAGACATGGTGAGAAGATGAAAACTCCACACAGTCAGCCAAGGCGTGAATCAAACCCAGGACCCTGGCACTGCTAATCACTATGCCACCCCACCACCCCAAATTTCTCATTAAGCAAAGCACAAACAGAAAAGTTTTAGCAAAGATTTGTAGCTCATGTTGTGGGTGAGGCTTGTTTTTGTTCTTGGCGAGCAAGTCAACAATCTCAGAAACCTCCTCTTTACACTTATGTGTGACAGGGTACTCTCTACACCTTGTCTGGTCTATAAAGTGCCAAACTTCTCCTAGCTTTAACACAGTCTCTTCTTTCTGCCCTATCAGCATAAAAATTCCAGCATCCTTTTAAACAAAACCACCTAGACTTAATACTCTCAAAATTATTGTGTTGACTTCTAGTACCGAGGCAACCTTTAGCAGTTCGTAGACTTCAACTCTCCACAAAGCCCCTTTTCTTCGTCTGGGAATCTGTCCTCACCAGCACTCGACCTGGTAATTAACGCCAAAATCATCTTTTTTTTTTAAATTCTACTTGGCACCTGTTGTGTGCCTTCTCTCCCAAATATCCCAAAGTCCACATGTACCAAGATCATGTGACTCTTCCTATGTCCAAGTTTTCAAATACTTTCAACTATAGTTTAGAGTTTCTAACTCTATAACAAGCAGTTCACGTTTGTCTCCAAGCAGATTATGCAGGTCACATCTCCCTCTCCAAAGTGACTCTATTTTACCTTGATTTAAAAGAAACCTGTTTAAAAACATATCCATCTTATAAAGTCCAGCATTCATAAACTGCAACAGTCAAGTCACTAACAGCAAAGTCTCACGTTCAGAAAATTAGCACGACCAGGTAATTGGTTTTAGTTTTAACACTGGTTAAATATTTCTTAGAAAGCACCAATGTCTAGCCATTTCACCTTGCCCCATGCCTTCAAATAATGATGAACATTTAATATACATCTCAACAGCAGATGAAATTCCAGTTTTAACATCTTGTCCACATTAAAGAATTTTTCATCCCACTTATGATATTTTCATTTGTGTACATGTGTATCACAAAACCATCTTAAAAAGTTATTAATTAGAACTGTACAAATAGTGAAGAGAATTGAGGAGGCTAGGCTAACTGATGGTGTGACAAGGACTTTAAAACAGCCTACATAAGACATATGTTGGCATTTTAGTCAGATGACTGAGGAATGGCAACATAAAATGAATTGAACAAATTTTAAGGGGGTACAGATACACACAGTCAGCTTGTAGGTGTACATGCCCTAAAGATAGGACAAGTTAGGAATGGTGTTTAAAAAGACCGGAATCTTGTTTTGAAAACAAAAGATGCTCAGGTAAACAATTTATATAACTCTGGCTAGGCCTCTGCTAAAGTATTGCATTCAATTTAGGAAGACTGCCAAGGTCTTACAGAGAGTGCAAAATAAATTTATTAGACTAGTGCCTAGGATAAGAGACTTCAATTTCATGGAGAGACTTGAGAAAAGATTGTTCTCTTTAGGACAGTGTACATAAAAAGGAAATTTGATAAGAGTTGTTCAAAATGACAAATAATTTTGATATCAGTAAATAAGGAGAAACTGTATTTAGCGGCAGATAGTCAGGAACGAGCGAATACAGATTTAAGATGATTGGCAAGAAAAAAGCAATAGGAAGAAACATTTTAAAAAAACAGCAAATTGTAATTTGCAATGCACTGCCTGAAAGGTTGAGAAAATTGGATGATTCTTTGAAGGAAAGAAAAATAGTTAGATATGGGGAAAAGCAGAACAAAATGAGACAAATTGGATAGATGTACTAAAAACAGTTAACAGACACAAATGAGCCAAATGCCCAATACTTGTGATGTATCACTAATTTGGAGTTTGAATGGCTACAAGTTTACAATCCTCTGAAATTAGCTGTGCTTGCATGTTAAAAACAGGCTTTTAAATACTAGGCAATGTCCAAATCTAAACATCAAATTCATGCCCTGAATACTATAAATTTTATGAACAGTAGAAACAAGTGAATAATTGTTGGTAACTTAGGGAACTCCCTATTAGCATTATGGGTCCCCCTATGCAAACACACTGCAGTTGTTTAAGAAGGCAGCTCACCAACACTTTCTCAAGTGCAACTGGGGATGGGAAGCAAATGCTGGTTCAGCCAGTAACTCCCAAATCCCATGAATGCATAATTATTGTTTAAAAATTGTGGTAATGATTCTGAGTGATCTGTTTCAGTATCATATAAATGGCAAATTACTGCAGATGCTGGAAAGTTGAAGTAAACACAGAGGATGCTGAATAAACTTAGCAGATCTGCCAGCATCTGTGAAAAGAGAAACAGTTAATGTTTTGAGTCTGTTATGAGTATTCTTCAGAACATTGTTTGGTTAAAGTGTCATGTGTCTAAAGGTTCCGTGGGAGGTTTTAAAACACTGATGCAATTTGTTGATTTTATAACAAAATAAAAATCTAATGAAATAAATTACAACAGGCAAGTCTTAATATTATTACTTATTAGCTTGCTGAAATCAGTAGGTTTTTGTAGCACTTCCCTAATGATATGTAGCTCACCAGCAAAATTAAGATTTGTAATTCACTGAGACCAGTAACATTTGCTCAAACAGGGGATGTAGTCTTTTAATTCTCAATCTTGTGGAACTCTTACATTATAAGTTAATAGACATGTTTATTTAATTGACACATAAAATGGGGATGGTCAGAATACCATCAATGGAAACATTCTGATATTAACTGTCTCACTGATTTTTCTACAAACATTCAACACATTATTTTCACAGCACTCAAACCATAAAAACAACTTTTTTTTAAAAATATTCAAACACAACTCACCCAGCCAAATCAGAATTACTGTAAATGTAGAAGACAAGTTTTTTTTGTCTTTTTGGGAATATATAACTAGCTTGATGTTGGGATTCTACTTTAAAAGGTTACATGACTGAAGTTGTAATTTCCTAGAGGGATCAGAGGAAACTTTTGCCACAATATTTTTTCAGATTCACATATGAGCTTTCATCTTTTAAAAAGAAAATGAAATCCCAGAAACCAAAGAACAAGAAAAAATAAACTAAGAATTACTTTTTTCACTTTCACATCCAATAATATTGTTTATTATATATTAAAAAAAAGTTAATCTAAGCTATGTATAGACTGTGTGGGAGCTCTTTATTAACAGCGAAAGGAACCACTTAAAACTTTTGCTCTCTGCATTCAGACCAGATTGTTAATAAATTGGATAGAATTCAATTTGCAGCAATTTATAGGCAGTTCAAGGGTAAGCTGGCCAGAAAATCTTGCACTGCCAGTTGGGTGTTGAACAAAATGAAATTTGGCAGTTCTAATGTGCAAAATTACTTACAAATTGACAGCAAACTTGACTAGGCCAAAAGAAAATCTTTTGGGTTAAAAGATTCATTATGGGGAAGTAAAGATAGACAAAGTTTAAATACTGCACCTCACTCTGCTGGTCTTGAGCAAACATTCAACACTGAAACAGAATATCACCAATAGAAAAGTGATCAACTTTTCAGCACCAAACACATTGAACACTGACAAGAGCAGGTGTTATATAAACATAGTTGTTTTAATATCACTGGAGACGTGACCAAAAATTTAATCTAAAGTTTTACTGACTGCGACTGGAAGTTGGAACAAATCTTAGTTAAATAAAGACTAGGAGGAGAAAGCAAAGAAAAGCTTTTGAAACAATTCACAAATATCACCCACCCAAACACTAATACAGTTAATGCAGAAGACAATTTCTGCCTTTTGAAAACGATTGATGAAAATGTATCGCATATAGTTCAGCTTGTTGATACACAGTGTCATGCTCTGGAACAAGTCATAGTTTACAGCCACAATTTCCCATTCGTAACTGTCTCTCACATCTCCAAGACTGTTCCAGTGAAATTGATATTGGCAAGTTGTGAGGCCCTTCCCTCTCAAAGGTCTGAAAATTAACATTCTGCCAATTTCTTTATTTCATGAGCTACTGGAAATGTTGTAACTGTCTTCAAAAGGCTAAGGCACTGAGCAAGTGAAGGCCTACTTAAAAACTCAACATGTCTCCACTTAAGATGAAATAAGCTGGAGAAATGATTAGTGTTCACAGCTAAAATAAAACTAAAAATTCATTGCAAAGTAAATTTTCTGGATAAAAATGCAGGTGGATACAAGATTCACGCAATAGCTGTAAGTCTCCGTGACACTGAAATTAGGAAGTTAAGGTTTAAGGCTGTAAAATTCCTGAATGTGAGAATGCAGGTCAATGAGAGTTTTGGACAAAAAAACGAATGTGTCAGGACCTAGGTCAACTGGGTGCCAATCTGAAAAGCACAGCAGCATCAATTTCAGGATCTGTTAATAAAAGCACTGGGAGATTCTAAGGAAAGATAGATTTATTTGGTGGCACCAGGGAAGAGCTACACCACCTTTATAATACTCATCAGTAAGATGTATCAACTTGTGCACAGTGATACCTTGCCTGGGAGTTCTGTGTTTCCCTGGAGATTGTGCTTCATTCATGATGCTGGGGGGTTCTAGCAGTCAGATCAAGAAACGAGAGAGTTACAGTTTACATTGTAGGCGGTGGCTCAGAAAACAACGACATCTTGACTTTCAGATGGCAGCAATCATGCTGAGGAGTCATTGAAGACTTTAGGCAGGTTAACTAATTCACTGCATAATCTTCTATAGAGGGGGGTTACCAACACCACCTTTGTGACACAGCAACTTGTACAGTTTAACAGCATTCCCAGACCAAGGCTGCCAGATATTTGTTCATTCTTAGCATTTACCGTTGAAATTGGCACCTGTTCAGATACAGATTTTCAATCCATTCATGAAGCTGCACATGTATGTAAAAATGATTGTCTTAACATATACCATCTCAAATAAAATTGTTATCTTGTCCATAAACTGGTTGATGTCTCTTTTAACACAGCACTCAAATAATGGCAACAGCTTGTGACACAGTATCCATTTATTTATGTTCTGCAGGTAATAGTCTAGTTGTGTCAAGAGTTTACTTCTGTTCGCAAACCCAATCATCCCAGTCTTCAGGATCAAGCTGCAAAAGAAAACATAAATGCATGACGGCAGCAATCTTGTGACCTTTAATTATCAAGGTAGAAAAGCATTACAGAACAAAAACAGTACCTCACCCGAGGCTTCAGCTCGAGATAAAGTCATCTGGATTTCCTCTTCAGTCATGTCCAGATCAAGGTCTTCATCCCAGTTTTCAACATAATCAGTGTTTCCTATAATTAAAAAAAAACTGTGAAACCAGAGTTCATACAACACTAAATCATTGACAAGAGTTTCCCAATATGTATCATTATCATCGATTCTTCCTGTTAAAGATCACCACCATTATAAATGGAAGATCGCTTTAGTTTTAATGCTCTAACTCTGGAGGTAGCCAAGTCAGTTTCAGATTTCAAAATTCTATTCTTCAGCTACAAAAACCTGGCCCACTTTGAGAATTTTCTAATTTAATATTTTCTCCTTCGGTTGCACTGTTAGTAGAAGGGAACTGCAATGCAATTCAATTAATACAGACTTTAAAAAGCTATACTTCAGTAACAGTGATCATGAATCTACCACTGTTGCAAAAACTCATTTGGTTTATTAACACCCTTCAGGAAAAGGAAATCTGCCTATATCATGATTCCAGACCCACAACAATGTGGTTGATGCTCAACAGCCCTCTGAAATGGCCAAACAAGCCACTCAATTGTATCAAACTTTGCAGAAAAGTTGAAAAGGATCGAAAATAAACAGAGCACTCAACATCAACCCAAGCACCAATCCATCCTGCAAGTTCCTTCACTTTTTATACCTGAAAATATGCCACAGTTCAGACAGGTTTCAACAGTAGTCATACTCACCAAACCATGTCTTACAATTAATGGCCCAGGACTGTATGACAGGAGTGAATAGTTCTGAGACTCCTCAATATTGAGTCTATACACCATGAAATCTTAGGGTTTCTAGTCAAATATGAGTAAAGAAACCTGCAGTTACCATCTACTGTCCTGTCTTATCTCATGATTCAGTGCTCCTCCATGTTGAGCACCACTTAAAAGGAGCATTGAAGGTAGGAAGGACACAAAATGAACCCTCTATCCAGTGTACAATGTCCTGTAAATAGGTAGCACTAACACTGACTGAATTAGCAGAGTACTGAAGGACATATCTGTAAGACTAGCCTATGGTAGATAGCAGAAGGAAAAAAAATGACTTCACCAATCTACCCATAGTTGTTGCATCTGTTCTTGACAAGAACAGATACGGATGACCACAGCAAGTCCTTGTGAACCCAAAGCCTTTTGTTTGGTAGTGTTGTAGAACAGCAATACCTAGGGGTTAAGGTGCATAATTCCTTGAAATTTTCATCACAGGTGGACAGGGTGGTTAAGAAGGCATTTAGCACGTTATTCTTAAAAAAAAAAACATTGTGGAGCATGGCCAGTATTCATTGTCCGTACCTAGTTGCCCTCGAAAAGGTGGTGGTGAGCTTCCTTCTGGAACTGTATGGACTAGTTGGACCGAAGGATCTGTCTCCATGCTCTATAACTACGAATATGACTATGTTGTGTGGTACAACCATTATACTAGATGGGATATGTTTAGAACAGATATATCAACTCAAAACTTGTCATTCATGAAGAGCTGTGGGCCATCAGGACCAGTGGAACTGTAATGAATCATAATTTATAACCTTGTGGTCTCTCTAACTACCACTGCTATTAAGCTAAGGTACCAGTGTTGATTCAACGAAGAGTGTGAAAACTGTCAGGAACAGCAACAAGCATACCTATAAATGAGGTGCCAAACTGGTGAAGCTATATGACAGGACTACACAAGGAAGCAGCATGCAATGGTCTGCAGATTCTAAAACCAATGGACCAAATCAAAGGCTCTACAGTTTTGCCACATCCAACCACAAATGGCAGTGATTAACTAAACAATTAACAGAAAAAGGAGGTTCCAGAGGATATCCAGCCTCAATGACGGGGGTTCCTAGCACAACAATGCAAGAGACAAGGTTGAAGGGTTTGCAACAATCTCCAGGCAGAAGTGTTAATTGAATGATCGATCTCTGCTTTCTCCTGAGGTCCCCACCAAAGTGGCCAGTATGCAGCCAATTTAATTCACTCCACATTATGTTAATTAATGGTTGAAGATACAAGGTACAATATAGGTTATGGGCTCTGAAAACACTCTGGGGTAACAGAATTGAAGACTTGCCCTTTAGAATTAGCCGCATCCCCAGCCAAGCCATCCAAGTGTGGTTACAACACTGACATACACCTGACAATATGGAAAATTGAAGTGAAACAGAAAATGCTGCAGAAACTCAGCAGGTCTAGCACTACTTGAAAAGACAGAAATACAGTTACTGTTTTGATTATGTTACAAGTCTTCAGAAAAATAGCTCGGGTGTGCTTTGATCATAAAAAGCAGGGATGTATCCAACTGGCCAATTATCACCCATCAGCCTACTCTCAATCATTAGTAATGTAAAATGCTGTTATCAGCGCTATTAAGTGGAACTTACTCAGCAGTAATCTGCTCATTGACACTCAGTTTGTGTTCTACCAGGGTCACTCAACTCCTGGCCTCATTATAGCTGTGGCTCAAATATGGACAAAAGAGTGGAATTCAAGGGTGAGCCTAGAGTGACTGCCCTTCACAAAAAGGCAGAATGTGCAAAGTGTAGCATCAAGGAACTCTAGCAAATGTTCATGAGCTAGTCTCTTTCTTGCTGGTTTCTCTGTAGCTCGTGTTCCCTCCACATGCTGCTGAAATTCCTGTTTGTCTGGCCAGAGCAGAACTGGAAGAAAGATGCTCACTTTGAAAGAAGAGTATGACTAGCATTGCTAGAGATTATAGAAGTCAATGCAAACTTTTTTTTTTAAAAAGAGAACTACTCTAAAATGATGCCCAAAATGTCTCCTAAATTTTACAGCATTTTAAACGTCAACAGAGGTGTATCCCTAGAAAAGGTCGATTCCTAATCTTTGACAAAGTAATGGTGCCAGAAATGATTTACCTGAAAATCACAAACTTAATTATGGTACCTGAGCCATTTCTTTTCCCCAATAGTTTAGTTTAGTTTTATCGGTTTCAGACAAGAGCCTTGGTCACCTAAATGTAGTCCCTACAACAAAAAAAAAAGGGCATTTTACTGAGAGAAAGCAAGAACTGCAGATGCTGGAGTCAGAGATAACACAGTGTGGAGCTGGAGGAACACAGCAGGCCACACAGCATCAGAGGAGCAGGAAAGCTGACATTTCGGGTCAGGACCCTTCTTCAGAAATGGGGAGGGGGAGGGGAGATCTGAAATGAATAGAGAGAGGAGGCGTGGGGCGGGGGAAGGTAGGTGGGGTGGTGATAGGTGAGTGCAAAGACACAAGAGATGCAGTTGAGGGCATTTTCGATCACCTGTGGCGGGGGTGGGGGGGTGGTTGCAGTCCTTGAAATAGGACGACATCTGGGATGTTCGGGAGTGGAACACCCCATCTTGGGAGCAGACGTGGCAAAGGCGGAGGAATTGGGAGTAGGGGATCGCATTCTTGCAGGAAGGTGGGGGAGTCTAGGTACCTGTGGGAGTCGGTGAGCTCCCACTCCCTGGGTGACATGCCCATCCTGGCCATCTTTACTGATCAAGAATCTATCTCAGCCATAAATTTACACAAGGACTCTGGCCCACAGCTCTGTGGCAAGGAGTTCCAAAGACACTGAACCCTCTGGGAGAAGAATTTTCTCCTCATCGGAGTCTTAAATCGGCACCTCTTAATTCGGACACTATACCCTTTGGTCCTAGACTGTCCCATGAGGGGGACACCCCCTCAGCATTTACCTCGTCAAGCCCCATAAAAATCCTACAGGTTTCAATAAGATCACCTCTCATTCTTCTAAACTCCACTGAGTAGAGTCCCAGCCTATTTAGCCTTTGCTCACAAGACAATGTCCTCATACCAGAGATTATCAGTTTCAACTATGCAAAAAGAAAAGTTTTAGATTCACTGTCCAACTCAAAATATCTTAGTGAAAGACAATGGGCTAAATATTCCCAGCCTGAATGACAGCAGCAATGGTGAGACAGTTGGGGGAAAAGTGGCAAGAATGGAAAAATTATTTTCTCAAAACCGAGGGAAAAAAAGACTGATTTTTTGCATACGGTTTCAACGGCCAAATGAGAATCTCGCTAGTGAGCTGTAAGGAACCTAATTGCGTGGCATTAGTTACCTAATCCCATGACATTTACATGTAGGTTGCTATTTTCCTAGGCAGCAAAGGAAACTAATTGGCACCAGTTTCTGATATGAAAGTCAGAACGGTTACCTGGTGGCTGTAGCGTGTCGATGTCTCTTCAGGCACTGACCTTGGCTAGCATTCCCCAACATCTCAGGGCATGCTACATAAGCAGCAACAGCTTGCAATCTCTAACGACGAAGGGTGGCTTCAGCCAAGCAGCAGCCTCATCACACTGTCATGACACATCTCAGACTCACTTATAATACAGGTTCATACTTTAATACTGCACTTTGAAGCTCAACAATTCCTTACATTGTAGCACTGCTGCCAGGCAGTTTTACATAGAAGGACAGGCACTCATCTCATGAATGGTGCATATCAGGGGTCTTAGCCTCTTAGTGCTCTCCCTTTGCACCTACATGGATGCACATAGCATCTCTGCCTTGCCTTGCTTTTTTATGCATTGCCACCTCATTCATATGCTACAAACTCATAGAATCTCCATTTTGCAGAACCTTTTAGCACAGACACAAAGCCTGCCAGCAACAGTCAGTCAAGGGGGTAGACATGTTGCCGTATAGCACCATCCTACATCATTGTAACAACTGCAGTATGTGCCAGCAGATTATGCAGCAAACACAGATAAATGTGCTTCAACCAAATGGCCATGTCTCAAAGTCAAAGGGACTGACTCTTCAGTCAAGTCAAGGGGACTCTTGTCAGTCAGGGGTCGCAACATACTCAAAGGCATCATCCAGAAGCATCAGTCAGCTGGTCACTTGGTTCATTCAGGTTCAGGGGTTCTGAATCATTAAAGCCCTGAGAGTATGTTACAATAAGTCCTACAGGTCCAGTGCTATCAGCCTGGAAATTAGTATGTCAATCAGGGAACTGCACAGATATCGGTCAAGGATCTGGTCAGCCATCAGTCAGGGCTGTCGTTCCAAGTCGGGCAGTAGAGGGGGGAGATGGAATCAGTGTGTCCTAGGGGTTTCCTGACTGAAAAAAAATCACAGGCGAGGGGTTAATCAGAGGCTGCTGTTGTGGTAGGGGATTAGCAGATTCAATTTTGAGAACTGGACAGAGCAAGGAGGGGGGGATTCAGAGGAGAGAACAATTATGCAGGGGACAACTTGTGATAAGATAGGAGATAATACAGCATTGGAGCACACAGGCTTTGTTGGTCACTAAGTGGGTAAGCCTGGGCCTCAGGGGTAATTTGGGAAGATGAAGACCTAAATAAATGGGGTTACTATGGGGTTGACAGTGAGAGCATGGCAGAAAGTAACATGAAAGTTTGGTTGAGTGCAGGGGAGGGGATTACTTACCTAGATCAACAGGTTGAGGTCACAACTCTGTCTGAATCACTGCCTGCGTTGCCTTCCGTCCTCACCCAAATCACAAACAGGCAATAGCAATGAAAATTGGCCTACACCCCATCAGAAATGGATGAGTAGTGTTTTATTTTGTCTGAGGGACTGGGTTGTACTTGTTAGACATGTGAAGCCCTTCAAGGGACAGTTGCATTAAATCTTGCATTTATGCAGTACAGGTTAAAGAAATAGGAAATCTCAGAATTCTGCATGTGAACCTTATGTAGTGATGAACTACATTAAATACACATCCTGGTCTCAAGTTCAGAAAAGATTTATCAGGATGTTGCCAGGAATAGAGGGTTTGAGATATAAAAATAGACTGGAATGGCTGGGACTTTTCTCACTGGAGCCTAGGAGGTTGAGGGCATGGATAAAGTGAAAGACAAGGGTCTTTACCCTGGGGTGGGGATTTTAAAACGAAGGGGCATATTTTTAAGGTGAGGAGAAATATTTGAAAAGGACACAAGGGACAATTTTTAAAATACAGTGTGGTTCATGGGGTAATGAACTGCCAGACAAAATGGTGAATGCAGGTACAGTTACAATGTTTAAAAGACATTTGGATAAGTTCATGAATAGGAAAGGCTTGGAAGGATATGGGCCACGCAAAAGCAGGTGGGGTTAATTTAGTTGGAAACATGGTTGGCGTTGACGGTTTGGACTGAAGGGTCTGTTTCCATGCTGTATGACTCTTAACACTCTAGAGGTCATCAGTGATCAGAAACTTAACTGGACCACTCAGAAATCCGGCAGATCCAAGGGCAGGTCAGAGGTTAGGAATTCTGTGCACCTCCCGATTCCTCAAACCCTTTCTACCATCTATAAGGCCCAAGTACTCTGTTGTTGATTGGATGAGTGCAGATCCATAAAATCTCAAAGGAACTACACCACAACAGCCTGCTTAATTGGCAAACTACCAGTCATCTTGTGTACTCTCTTCCTCCATCACTAACACAATGTGTTTCATCCACAAGATTCATTGTACAACTCACCAGTGTTTTGTGATAGCACCTTACAAACCTTTAACTTCTACTGTCTACAATAAGAGTCAGCAGATGCATGGGAACACCATTTGTAAATACCCTTGCAAATCGCAAACCATCTGAACTCTGAATTATATCATCGTTCCTTCACTGTTGTGTGGTTAAAATCATGGATCTCCTTAACACCATTGAGGATGTACAGACTACGGCTGTTCATGAAGCTAACTCTCCAACACCTTCTCAAGAGTGGTTAGGGTCAGGCATTAATTGCTGTCCTCATCAGTAATGCCTGAATCCCATGAATTAATATAACTGACTTCAGCAATTTCAATAGTTTAGCATGACAGCTCAATCCATCAAGGGGCACAGGTCATTAGTGAAGTACTATTAATGCACATATCATTCAAATTAGAAAACTTTTAAAGTGAGTTATGATATAACAGGAAGACTGAGCAAAGTGCAAAAGGTCTAATTTATACAAATTCTACAACAACTAAACAGTGGATGATTGATTTAAATGACTGATTAAAGTGTTCAAAAAATGAATTTTGTGAAGGATTAAACATTAAAAACTCTACCAATTATTCAACCAACTAACCCATTAAATATATTGACTGGTCCCAAGTTCAATTTACAATTGGTACTAAATCTGAAGATTTCAGCAAGTTTGCCAGTAGCAGTATAATCATTGGTCTTTGTGTCAAGTTGGAGAGAAGAAATTCAACCATATATCCCTGTTCTGTGTTCAAGAATTACAAGCAGACTTGTGAGAAACATGTTGGATACATGCTAGAATCTTCTATAAAACTCAACAGTCAAACAGCATGCACAACACAACAACAAAGCACGAGTTTGAAGGATGGTAATTTATGCTAGGTATCAAAGAGTGATTGGTGCCCATCAAACTGTGCACTGAAGGATGGAGCCAATGTTTTCAGGAGACGAAGGGCAAAATTGGTAAAGAAAGAATAAGAAAACTGAAACAAAAAACAATTCAAATAACACAGTTAACACATAATTTGAAACAAAATACTCACCTTTGTTACTCACAAAAGCAGATTTTTCAACATTTGAAGTTAACTTGACGGTTGCATTTTTATCAATGCTAGGTTGTAAATTGAGGTGAGCAAAATTTCTCTCGAGAATGGAGACTGGGGACTCTTCAAAACCTGAAGAGTCCTCACCAGTACTTATGCCCTCATCTCCAAATAGTTTGTGACACAATTCTTCTTTTAAAACAGTTTTATTTTCATGCTTCTTCTCCATTTCCAAAAATGATTCTAACATTTGGATAGTTTCTCCTGCTGGGTGATTTAGTTGGATTCCTTGAATGTCCTCAGTGGAAAGCAAAGCAAGTGGCTGGATTTCACTTGATGTGTGGTCAGACAAAGTTGACACAGCAACTCTCGAGCCAGTTTCTTCCACTTTGTTTCCTGGTAGTTCATGCCTGTCATTAGTTATCATATTTAGATCTTTCGGGTTAAAAGCAACAGCAGAAAAGCTTGTGTCATCCCATTCATCTAAGGAAAAAGATTAAATAAGAAAATGTAAATTTTTAATTCCTTAGTTCATTGCACCATTATATGAACACAAGATTTACTTAAATAGCTCTTCATAATGGCGTAAGGAGTTTATAATGCATTTCTATACCTTCATCTTCCCATTTTAGATCCACAGAATATGTGCTTTGTTCTGCTCTTTCTTTTAAGGCTGTTCTCCGAGCTTCTTCCTGTGCAAGGAGTTAAAAGAAAGTGCTAAGGTGCACTAGTTTTTAATTTTAATTCAATAATCCTTCCAATCTTGTTCACGCTTCCCTGTTACCTGCTGCAATTTGTGTGTCTATTAATTTTTATTACATGACTATTATAGGTTTCCATATTTTTAACTGATTGTGTACTTTACATTTGAATTTATGGATGCAAGTTCTACTGCAATCCAGCCTTTCACTATAAATACGTGTTCCTAGAATACCATTATTATTATTATTATGCCTCTTTATTCACTGGAGAAGCCGTTCTAATTCAACTTTCTGCATACCTGACCATGCTTACACTTGCAAAAGGCCTGTATAAGTACAGAAACAGTAGATTTGATTTGCTAACATGAAAAAACAGTTAGATGAACAACATTTAACCCCATCAGTAAAGGCTGTTTATACTTAAGCAAGCCGCACCACTTAGAGAATCTGAAAACTACCAGTTATGGAGTATTGCATTTTTAAGAGCCAATGAGCTCAATTGCAATATAGCTTTGTCTACTTACTGCAGTACTGAAGACACACTAAAGGATGATAGGAACCCAAATTCAAGTTTCTAATAGTTCCTCATCCGCTAATAATGTGGATTATGGAATTGCCCAGGAACTAGCATTTTGGTACCATGTTGCTCAAATTATAATCTTACATCTGTGCAAGAGTGCATGATTTCTACTAAGATAAACAAAATCAACCTCACTTATCTGGAAGTGGTACAGAATCATTACAAATGCTTAGCTGAATATTTAGCAGAAGTATTGCCCCTGAAGGTCCTCCTCCTCCATTCTCAAAACCCATGGTCTTTCAATAAACAGCCTTCTAGGAGCAATCACCAGAACCACAGCCAAGTCACTTCACCCATCATCCAAGCGAGATGCATTCAGAACAGTAGTTTATATTTGCTCCCTTGTCCCATCATCACTATCCAGAGATACTGAAATTAATTTTGTTATCCATACCGCAGATCATTGCTGTTTGTTCCCAGAAAACATCAACCCATTGGAGTGCTGACCTGATGAAGCTGATGGACTCTGTAGAAATACCGAGACCAGAAGTCTGCATGAGTAATTTCAGAGGGAACCTATCAAAAAGATTTTATAAAAAAATGCAAATCAAAAAAAAGCTAGGTAGGAATTCACTATGCAAATAAAATTAAAGCACAAATGTAATAGAGTTATTTTAATAAAAATATATAAAAGCATAAATACAAAAGTATATTAGTAAATGCTTCATAAAACTGACAGGTTTACTTAAATTAAGATGGTTAAATAATTTCACAGAAGTGAAGTTGCCAGTTTAAACTAAGAAAGAATATAGAATTTTTGGCCCTTGACATTTCTACAAAGGGTTAACTTTAGAAGAGCAATATAATTAAGTTAAAACTTATTTTAAACTGATTTTGAATATATTCTTGCAGCAATTTGGAGAATTTAGTTTTGGTACACAATTCATTTTTTACAGATTGATGCAGTAGTCTTTGGTAAGTAGATGCCAATGCAATAAGTTTTCATACAACTATAGTTTGTCAAGTATTTTAATTTGCCAAAAATACTGATAAAAATACCAATTTTGCATAAAGGTCTCTTATGGGTGGATTATTAGCCAAGAGGTCAGATATAGCGCACTTCTCATCATCCAAGGTGAAGCTCAACAACCAGGAGTTATAGTGTTCTGTGGAAACAAAAGATTTACATAGAAAAAGTAAAGTGAGCTAATTAAACATTTTTGAAAACAGGCCATCAATAAAACTCAAGTATTCAATTTGTTGGAATCAGTCAAAATATGTTTGAACATTTCCAATTATAGAAAAAAATTTCAATTTATAGATTAGACCAAGACTACTCAATATTTTATTTGGTCAATGCACATCACAAGAACACTTCTGCTCATTAGACACAGGAAGATGCAACTTAGTCCACGGTAACTATACAACATGAGTCAATTTAAAGTTATCAGCTCAGAAAGTCTTCACCCGTGAGAAGGGCAGATGTGGGCCGAGATACAAAATATGACTGGAATTGAGCCAAACAGAAAAGCGCACTTTTTAAAATTCTGGACAGATACTGTATCCTTGGTAACAATATGGAAGAGATTTCATAATGACAACTAAAATCTCTTAATAAAAATTGTAGGCGATTAAAAGGAATTTATCACCTTGTTAAAAAATTTGGAATATTGATTTAAAAAAGAAATCAGACTAGGAAGAGCAGCAGTATATGTCTGAGGTGTGGAGATTTGTCTCCCCCACCTCAACGATGGGAGTAAACAATAAAAACATGGCTTAACTGCTGTGAAATGCTGCCAACAACTTTGAGTGGTATGAATATGAGTCCTGTTGCACTTCATTCTTTTTCTGTTTTTTTGATTTATTTTTAAGTGATCTTTTTCTACACTTTTTATCTAATTTTTCTCTTCCTGTCTTTTTTGCTTTAGCACTGTCTCTATTTCAGTATATGTTACTTTCTACTCTGCTATTTGGCATCCCACCAGCTAATTGAGAGTATTATTTTTCTGTTGATGTTCTCCTTGACTTAAATTTTGTTTGAGGTGGGGTTCACAGAGTGTTTCTGATTAAATCTTTTTCATTTTCAATTGATTTGATGGAAGCCCTTCAATATGAATTTGGATCTTCCCTTCAACCCTATTTTCTTACAGAGGTAAGATAAACCTGCACACAGGCAGTACGCGTTTTCAGGGCTGTTGCACATTGTTTGTAATCATGCAACAGTGCAATCAATAGTGCCCCTTGCAATTGTAAATTATATTGTATCTCTTGCATTCGACCTCACATGGAGTTCCAATCTTCCTGAATGCTGGTCAAAAAAAAAAGAGGCAAGAGGAGGATAAATTAAATTTAGCAGCATTATCTATTTGTCTATGCAGCAAGTCAACATAGCAAAATTATGTAGGGACTCAATTAATTCAATCACTGCAGAGGATGGTTGCTTAATGTTTTGTATTGGCGTGTAATGGTGTTTGATATAAACCAAACAACCTATCAGCCTATCCCCTAAACTTCCAAGTCTTCTGAGAGCTTGTCACTGCTGCTTTCTATTTCAAAACTAGGATGACTGAGTTAAAGAACCCAATATGCACAATGTTCATTGCACATATCTCAAGAGGAGATCCAATGACAAGACAAATTCTGCTGATCACCGAGCATTAAGGATTTTCTAATATAATGAATGGCAGGTATTTAGTGATAAAAGATAAACATTACTTTTTGTTACTCACCAGTAACAAAGAAAAATGGATAGACTCGTCTACATAAAGAGAAACATTGCAGTCCTTGAGCAGAATATCAAATTACACTCCTGTTAAATGCAGAACATTGTATAGGTGCGCTGAACTACATCATGGACTCGGTCACTTAAGGACTGAAATGTCAGGCGTGAAAAATGATGGGAATATAGAAACTGGATTGAAATTGGCTCATGGATTTTTAATGAGTATTGCTCGACTAAACTACATTACTGTGAAATGATTTATCAGTATATTTCAGTTTGCAGGTAACTCAAATATCAACTTGTATACATTGGAACGGCAACAATTACCTCAGGCAGAGCAGGCTGTGAATTTCTGGCATTTCTTACTTGGGCAGGGTTACACAACAAACTTTTTGAGAATTAATTTGCAAAATACTTACACATGCAAAACCATTGTTATTTGGTGGCACAGGGTGAGAGAATTGAAACAAAATATAATTACATTCACACAAATTTTTAAAAAATTATTGGTGCAGGATATAAATTGTACTTTTTTAATCTCCACTCTACCCCCAGTTAATGACCGTACCCATTTTTCCATTTCCTTACTTCTGGAATGATAGCAGCCACCAGTACATGTTACTATGAGGTTATTGCGTGCATAGCGGCAGCACTGTAAATTCAATGCTGCATATTGCTTCAATTTCCATAGCTACACAGGTTAAAAATTCTTGCACGTTGCTATTTGTTCTAATTTCTCAATTTTCCTGCATATCCGTTTTACAAAGTCAGATTGAATAGTTTTCTAGTCTAAATTTGGTTTTGTCACTGGCTGTATCTGTATTTCTAGTACACAAAAAAGCTGAAACACTGAACAGATTAGAATTGTAGCTCTAAATCTTACTTCAGCTATGAGAAGTATTAGTTTACAGAGATGAAACAAATAGCAAGATGCATGCAACTAATCAGTATGGTCACAATAAATTAACATATAATTTGTGATGAGTCATTAAGTAAAATAATCCAGTATACAAGGCCTGATGCTGGAGTTAGAATATGAATACTAAATACTTTGGAAGAAACTTTGTTTGCAACTTCCCAAATATAGATTGCACCATTTTGGTAACTTAACACCACTCCTTCCTGGCCCAGCCAGTGACACCCACATCCCATGAATGAATAAAGCTTAATAGTTGAATATTACCATCTGGTTTCTTGGAGTATGTTGCAGGATCAGCTTGAAGGTTACAGAGACGGGCCTGCAAAATAAAAGAAAAAAAAAATTCTTAAATAATCACTGTCCTTCCACTTCACTTTTGTCCATTATTTTAGAACATTGTACATACCTTCAGACTATCATATGGCTCACTACTTCCCATCTGATAGTCATTTATTGCTTTCATATCAGCAGTGGCAGATTCTTCCACTGTAGGTGCAAACGCATCCGAGATTGCTCCAAGTAAGTTTGAAAGTCCCTTGCTAAATACCTGACCACCTTCTGCGTGCTCCTCAACCTAGTAAAGAAGTATAAAAGTAAATCTTGTGTAGTCTGCAATTTGTTAAGTACTGTGATCAGATGTGTCTCTGGTTCTACATGAATATTGTACTCCCAATCATAGCAACCTACACTGAGTGGTGAAGATCATAATAGCATAGGTGTATCTGTGAACTTGAACACGTTGCTTAAATGTTTTTAGAATCAGATTATGTTTCATTGCACATTTTAGCTCAAATTAATAAGTTTATAGTTATATTGCTGCTGGAACATTCTATCTTTGATACCAAAAATCGTTATAACACAGGGTCTTTTGATATTTATATATTTTTAATATAATTTGTGTTACGTTTGCAGTTTCAGATTTTTTAGTGGCATATCTTCTGGGAATCTGAAAGAATTAATTAACTGAAGTCTGTTTCTGTCGCCATGTTCTTTTTTTAAGGGCTTGTTTTCAGAACTAAATTTTTTTTAAAATTTACCTTGGGAGGGTTTACAACCTAGCAAGGTAAACAATTGCACCTCAGGCTTTTGGTTAGCATTTTCTGAACATTTTTTGGTAAACTTACGGAAAACAGTCGAGGTGGAGAGAGAGAGGGAGGGAGGGGGAGAGGGAGGGAGGGAGAACAATTTTCAATTTTACTTCCAGTTTTAGTGTATTCAACAAAAGTTTTATTCTGTGTAAAGTTGGTCTTAAGAAAGGGAGACAATAAGAAGATTTGTTAATGCTAGATTACCTTACTGTAAAGAGTTAGTGACAGGATTTTCTGGTGGGAGTACTGTACAATGTATCCTTTGAAGTATGGATGTTTTTGGGATCGGGAAAGATGTGTCATTGGGATTATACTTTTATATTATAGTTATACTATCATTCAAATGATCTTTAGAATAATTTAAAAGATTTAAAATCTTTGAAAGTATTATGAGTAAATAATCTGGATTACCTATTTTATCTTCATTTCTTTTACTTAGTAAACATCCATTTGTTGTTAAAATCTCCAATATTGCATGCATTTTCTTTTATTTGATTTATTGTTGTCACATGTGCCCAAGTATAAAACAAAAAGTTTTGTTTTTCGAGCAGTACAGGCAGATCATAACAAACAAGGACATTTAGATTATAAGGTGCTTAGACAGAGCGAGGCATACAAGGTTATGGCTGCACAGGAGGTGCACAAAAACAAAGTCAACAGTAGATTTGAAATTAGAGAGGTCCATTCAGCAGTCTAATAACAGCAGGAGAGACCACCTCATTAAAACAAAAAAAAAATCTAATCTAGCAAGTCAGACCTGTTCAGTACAACATCTGCTAGAATCAGAATATAGACTCACATTAAGTTTCTCTTTGAATGCTAAGGCTGTTGTTGAAATTGTAGTCACAGTATCCTGTTGGATAACCTGAGTGAATTCAGCCAGATCACGCGTCAAAAGCTCCACGGCTTTTGCAGACTGTGAATTAAAAATATAAGTTTGTTATGGAACATGATTCTTTTTACAGAAGTCCCTTCTTCATCTCACATCCTAACATACTACTCTTTCAAAAAAGTGAAAATGTTCTTGACAATTTCAAATTTTCACTTCTATTTGCTAAAGAGTCTGAAACATGGGAGGGAAAGAAGCCAAAAAGCAAGAGGCACTGCCAGTGTCTGCCATCCAACCAGAGATGAGGGCAAATAGGCATCCTCAATTCCATTTATGCTAATAAGCAATGTTAATATAATGCATTTTCATATACAATGTCACAACACAAATGCCATTGCAAAAAAAAATTTCTGTACAACTACATCCACATCCAATCTTATTACTCAGAATTGCTGAATTTGAACAAAGTTTTACGTGCTAGTTGATGTTTCTAGAGGACGGCTATTTTTGGTGAGGTAGAAAGGGACCTGGGCCAGGTGGATTAATGAACAATAGAGCAGACAAAAGGGGCTTTATTATCCATTTCTTATGGCAGATGAAGCTTACCACAAAACTGTGAAGTAATTTATTTACTAAGGAGATGTAAAATAAATGGGACAATTTTTAAACAGTGCAGGAATAAAAAGACGTGGGGGTGTACATGTACAAATCTTTGAAGTTGGTGTGATAAGTTGAGGAGTCTGTAAAAAAAAAGGTCTATGGAATCCTTACCTTTATAAAGAGAGGAATTAGGTAAATCAAGGATGAACTCCTATTCAGCCTTTGTGGTCAATAAGTATGGGCCGGGAGGAAGGTAAAGTGCAAAGGAGCTGCTGAGGGTCATACTTTTCCTTCAGTCATCACCCTCATTTTCAGGTAGGGAGGTAGGAGGTTTAGCAGGTCAACGAAATAAAAGGCAAAAAGTTAAAGTTAACTTTTAAAACGTGTCAGAGAACAAGCAAAACCAAATAGATTTAAGTGGGCAAATGATATAACACCATATTCTCCAATATAGGAGTGCAACGCCATAGCTGTATCGGCGCGCATAAATTAGACAAACAATGAATATGTATACAAGCTACTAATGAAATTAATTTGGCAAAAAGAAATCCTGAAACAATGTAACGAATTACTCCATCATTCTAGGCTTTGCAAGAAATCTGATTTGTTTACAAAAGGCCATACCTTGGCTTTAGCCGTTGCGATGTTTTGCTGAATCCAGCCTCCCCACCACCTACCAACAAATCAAGGAGAAATAATTGCAATTTTAAAAAAATGCTGCTGCCTCACGCCGCTTTTAGATTGTCAGCTGCTTTCAAACAAACACTTACCTATTCGTCATTCTGTTGTTATTATATCCTCAAACTTACAACCGTGAGAATTACAGCGTGGACCAAGAGCTTGCGGTCAAAAACTTCGTGTCATCTGGGTGGCTACAACACAAAACAGACATGGCATCATTGCCACCGTGGCAAAGACAAATTATGGGAAAGGAAGTGAACACTGGGCTTTACCTTTTCCACAGTCACTAATTAACAAGAGGCACCAACTCCGCAGTGTTAAGCTTGATTTATCACTGAGCTCAGATAAAATTGCATCAGTACCGTCCAGTAAGCAGCTCAAACAAAATTACTCAAGCACTATCCAATTAGAATAAAAGTAACTGAGCATGATTCATAGAGGAAGCAGGGACAAGTTGTAAGAGACTGCACACTGAGAAAACACAGACGGCGCGTGCCCCCGGCTCAGACTGACGGCGAGCGCGAGACGGGCTGAAGTCGCTGACGTCAAACTCACAGCCCCGCCCCCCACAGGCGTCCCGCTTCCTCCGGAACGTGACGTCACGCGTCAGTGACGTCCACTCCAGGTAACGGCGCGCGAAACTGACGAATCGGCGGCAGAAAGAACTGTCGGGAAACCATAGCACCCGCGGACCGTGTGTCTGTGGGGGGGGAGAGGGGGCAGAGATGACTCAGTCCGTCCTCGTCCAAGGTAAGCGGCTCTACTCCGCCATTTCACCGACATGGCGTCCCGCTTACTCTCCTCCGCCTCCTGAGCTCACCGTGAAGCTGACAGCGCTCTCCCTCCGAAGCTGAGGGCGGACTCCTACAGAGCCTACATGCTGGCTGTTTTCCTAATTAGCCAGTGCAAGGTTTTCATTACACACCTCTGGAGCAGATGGGACTTGAATCTGGGCCTCCTAGCACAGAGCTAAGGACGCTGCCACTGTTGCTACCCCAACAAGCAAACTCAGATACAGGGTTAACGCGGAAATCTGCAAGTTGCCGCCAGTGATGGTCTGCATCTCTAATTGACCTGTCCTTTAACATTAACTGAGACAACA